TATCATCACCTAACACAACCAACCAAACTTGCTGATAATATAAAATACCCCCGCCGCAACAAACCTGCAGACGAAGCCAATTTCAACTTGTCTGATTACATATTTACTAAAATATTTCCATAAACAAGCGAGTGCTTAGGTTTGCTGGCTACGGGGAAGGTAAACAGTGTTTTTTGACCGGACAATGGGAACGGGGGTTTATGGGGTAAAAATGGGGTTTTCCCATTGTTGCAATTATGTTGTTGGGTTTCCTGATTAGCTTTATTGGAATTTCATCATAAGCATCCCAACCGGCTGATATTTTATGTTTTAAAGAAAATATGACTTGACTTACTTTGTCTTTACTAACCTGTGAGAAATCAAAAACTGGTATGTTGTAGTCCAGGTTAAAATTCTTCAATAATGTAATTGTTATTTTTATAAACATACCTTGAGGGTTCTTTAATTTTTCCAGAAAGTTTATTATATTATGTTCATTCAAAACTCTTTTTCTTAATATATTGTTACACTTCTTGTGAGGTACCAAATTTTAAGGGGGGTAAAAACTAGGGGTCTGCGGTGCACCGAAAAAGTCGGTACGTACGGTACAAGCTTAATTACCGTCATCGGTTCGGTACAGCATTTTACACGGTACAAATTCGGTTTGGTACAGCCTATTATAATAATAAATTACTTTCAGTTTACTATCGTAGTCAACGGCAGTTGGTTCCGAGCACATAAAAGTCTTATCAGATGTTTGTTTATGATCTTCATAATTTATTACTAGCGTGATGATGCAATAAAAAACCCATAAGCAGTCCCAAATCCATTAACATTTTATCACGACAATAATTGTTGTATTGAAGTACTTCCAAGAACTGTTGAGTTTTATCACTTTTATTTCTTTACGACTTTCCCCAATTCTGTTTTATCATAAAAATAATAGTTTTATGATGACTGTTAAATGTTATCTCTAACTTAATCAGTATTTTCGTGAATATTGAATTTGCCGCTGGCCATTGCCTACTGCCATAAAACTGTTTATGGCTACATATTAAACTTGTAACAAATCTACAATCTTATTTTATAAATTAAATATTTGTTATGGATATTTTATCTTTCTATTGACGACCATGGATATATACAAACTTTTGTCGTAATTTTAATTTCAACATCAAAATACAATATTGCACAATCGTGATATTTTAGGCCATTGACCTTTATTATGCATCCGGTATTGCTGTTTCAGAAGAGAAGCACTTTGATAAATTATAAATTGATATTCCCGTAGTTAAAAAGAATATTTTATAAACCTATAAAACAAAATCATAAAATCTTACATAAAGATAACAATAACGGAAATTGTAAAAAGGGTATAAAGATAACAACGTCATTCTTTCTCTTTGTTCTTCTATTTCTTGGGTTTCCCTTCATCACGCATTCAACAAGTTGCCATGGTTACTGATAACTTGATTACTAATCTAACCCATGTCGTTATCAGCTTTTGTGACATAGCGCACAGCAGGGGGTAAAACTTGACGAAAATCGGTAAATTTTTACCTATTATTTAATTACCAATGAATGTACGGTACTACTTTATTGGTATTTGGTATTGTATTAATAATCGGTCCAAATGGCAGATTTTTGTCAAATTTTACACCAAATTTATTGAAATTTCAAGGTGAATATTAATAAAACAATTATTACCAAATATTTGTATTCATTTAAAAGATTGATTTGTGGTATTGGGTTCCCCACTGAGTGCAGCCGAGCGGCACTAATGAGGGTCGGACCTTCTTGGGGGTGAACAATAGACGGCTTATCAGACCCTCCCCTCCCCCGTGGTCTGGAGAAAGCATGTAAACAAACTATTGCACAAGCGTGCGTGACTTGACATTGAGCTGCTTCAACTATAATTTTGTCAAATGAACTGTGATGTTTCAAAATCAAAAACAATAATTTGGGACCATACTGCTTAACAATAATGGACTGCAATTATTGTTGAACATACAATCCATTTTTAACAAACTAAGATTATACGATTCAAATACAATTATAAAAATTATCTTGGTATTTTACTTGGGGTAATGAAGTTATGTAGGCTAGTGTAATTCTCGGTTCATCAAGGTTCTACTGAATTATGTTTGGCAGTGAATAAGTGTAGAATGCAATTTATAAATTCAGGGATACACACCTTTTACACAGTTATAAAGTCTAATTGCCCAACATCAAATCTTACTCTGTGATAATCCAAATTTTAGTTTCAGAAAAAAACTTTGCAAGAATTGTATCCATCTTATAACTTAACTTTTGAAGCTGATAAAAAAAATGGTCTTTGCCATTACTTCATCATAACCTCCAGTTTTTCATTGTCATCTGCTGTGAACAGCTGGCAAAACTACACTGTCTTCTACTGAATGCTTTTATATGTTTTTAAAATAAAAAAAAAACAACTAGACATTGTGTTGGTTGGAAATAATTGATCAGTTTTGTGAAATTATCTTGTCAATAAATGTTTCAAACATGTTTATTCATAAAAACTCTCATCCTATTTTTAAACTACTTTATCATGGCTATTCAAAGTATCTCAGAGTAAAATAGGTAAAGCCTTTATCTCAACTGTGATTTTTCTTGACACAATCCTCGTAGTAGTAAAAGGTTTTGTTTTAATAATATGTGGTACAGTAATTGTTGTTAGAAAACCATGAATGTAGGATACTATCCATTTTCATAGTAATGTCTATGTATTAAAGTTAAAAATAATGGTTTGGATACAGTTCTGAGAAGAAAACCGCAAAAATACGGGTAGCCGCGTACCGTACCGATTTTGTACCGAGAATCGAGGTACAAAATATTGTACCGTACCGAACCGTACCGACCTTAAATTTTCTGTACCGCAGACCCCTAGTAAAAACGTATTGCTAGTCAACAAACACCATAACTTACCCGATTTTTATCCACAACATCCTACTCTTAGGCCTATGTGTTGGCCATAGCTTTGGCTATGGGCCAAAGAACGTAGGCCTACTTTTAATAACAGTGAAGTACACAAACACACCCACAACGATATATTTATTCATAATAGCACTTTGTTTCACATAATAAAGTTAAAACGACCGATTTTACGAATATTTAACGCCGATTACAACATCACCTAACCTCGAAATGGTGTTTGTTGACCAACAACAGACGACAACTAGACCGGCTCAACAGGTGAATTTCCGATCAGCTGTTGGCTAGTTCTCAAACTCACCACCAGAGCGATTAAGCCTCGACCGAGGAAATCATGATTTGAGCCGGACAAGAATGATTCGCTATTTGACCGCCGACTAGCTCACACACGACTTACGAATACGACCCTACGATTCGATTACGAAGGTTAGCTAACACACCAGTTAGGCTCCTTTTTACGTTTCACGTCATTTTTGTCTTATCTTTATTATGCGCATACTTAACTTATTTTACTTTTTCGTTTTCTTAAATTACCGATTCGAATTATCTAAATTTAATATCGTAACTTGAGTCTTGACCCGCCAGTTCCTGCCTGCCAGTGACTAGCGGTGGCGATCGTTTATTTTATTTTAATTAATTAGTTTCGAAATTACGATTTCTCCGTTCGCTTAACGAGTAATTATTACTTATATTATTTTAATTGACTCGACGTTTTAATACCCCGAGACTTGTCGTCTAAGTTCTAAACCCCGTCTTTGGCGGGTGAAAGAATCAAGTCTTGGGAGCAGGCTGATTTGAACAATCAGCTACGAAAATTAATATTAAATTTATTTTAAACCACTCACGTTAAATTATCCGTCCAATTATATTAATTAGGCCCCGACGACTCTGTAGGAATTGCTTTTACATTATATTCGATTTTATATTATTTACCTAGACCTTTAGTTAAATATTTTAAAGTTCATTACGAGTATTTATATCACATTGGCTTAAGATTGGATACTCGTCGGCCCTACAGAGTCATTCTAAAAGTTAGGCAAAATTCTCCAAAACACTTTTACGAAGGCTGGGATGATATAACTCCAACTGAGCGTCTGCAGGATTTCCTGAGCGCTTCTAGAGCTCTGAGCCTTCGATTAAATTTAAATAAATTGATCAGTCAAAGCCGTGACAACTTCGTATCGACCCCTGGATTTTTCTCGGCTCCTTCTGAGCACTCCGGGGAAGAAATTTGAGTGTGGCCGGTTCTAGGGGTAGGCCTAGCCTGACTTAGTGAATACTAGTTTATTCCCCCCCTAGAATTTTGCGTCACATTCTTAACTACACTGTTCAAATTGTGTTCATTTAAAATAAATAATGCTCTGTGGTCGGACAATCTTATCTCTATGTTTAAGTACTTTGAGTATTTGTTTCTCCTATTACAAATGATGTTATCAATACAAGTATGAGATGTTGGTTTTATCCTGGTAGGACCTTGAGAGCAATACAAACGACCATAAGATATTAATAGATTTATAAAAGAGTCTTTTTTAGGTTTTTTAAAGTTTTCTAAAACATCTACATAGAAATTTCCTGTTAAGTATATAGAGCTGTTTTTGTTTCTTTTTTTAGTAATATAAAAAATAATTCTAACTTTTCCATAAACATCTTAAAATTGCTCATGTCAAGGACACAATATTGAATATACTGAAATAATAATTATTTGTAATATTATATACACAGCGATCTTCAAAAACAAAGTCTTCAAAATATAAATTTACTAATTTAGGTCTATTCTTTTACTTCTAAATTTGACTTTACTTAAATACAGGATCCACCACGTTTACCTTCTTGTCTGCAATAAAAAGACGCTAAACTAAATGTTTCTAAACAATTCATAACTGTTACCTGATCTAAATTTAATCTTTGCTCAACTAGACATAGAATATTTACATTTGTTTCTCGTAGAATTAAGTTTAACTCATTTATTTTATACACAGTTCCACTTGAAAGTAATGTTTACCTTAATTCATTACAATCTTTATAGAGTGATGTTGCTAATATTTCTGTTGTTATGTTGATATTGATAGGAAGTCATTTTGTTACCGTCGTCTGAGTTACCTCTCGTCCAAGTATCAGTTACATGTTCTGCTGAATGAGCTACGAGAACTCGCTTCTCAAAAAGCTGTTCCCCACAGGGACTTTTATAATATTCGCAAGGTTAGTGTGTTTATCAAATAAAAGTGTAGGCCTACACATAGCTAGATATCAAAAATTAAAAACCTGTTCCTGAAACATGTGAAATATCTCTGTCCTCAAATGATATTTCAGAAGAGCTGCAATAATTCCATTTGTGAACATCCAGCTGACAATTAAAGTTTGATGTGATGGCTATCAACAACCTGTACTATGTAAAGGCCGGTGCACACAGAAACAGACGGACTCATGAGAAAGGACTCCTACAGGTGGACAAATTTATTTGTAACGCACACAACCGCAGGAGTCCGCAAGCAGACAAACTATCCCTTCCCTCAATTACCTTGTAAAAATTAACCAATAAATAAGCCAAAAGAAACGTAACAAAGTGTGGAATGGGATGACAGTCCCTCACAAGTATGTTTAATTACAGGGTGTCTAGCGTCCCATCAAAATAAAATTCAAGGACAATTCCAGGTTATGTAGGCTCAAAATTTCCAGGACAAAACTTGCCGCTCGAATATTAAAACCTACTTATATAAACGTGCTAGTATATTACAACCCCTTCTCCGAATTCTGTGCAGAGTTTTTGCGATCACAGCTACATTGGTGATCATTACTTTCAACCATGGCAAATCTTAGATGAATTTCCGTGATTGGGGCAATATTGGTGATTATTTTCAGCGATCGTGGCAAAATTAATTATAATTCCCTGCGATTGCGGCATCACCCGTCATAATTTCTCAAGATGTTGGACATTCATAAAGGTATCTTGAAATCGCCGCAAAATGTGCGAAGATTTCTCGCAATCATGGCAATTTCGTGATTGCCACAGTTCTTTACCAAATTCACGGATTTCCCCTGATGCTCAAATATTACAAAAAAGTCCCAGTTTCCAGGTGGGCTGGACACCCTTAGTAAACAAACTACAGTGCACCTAGTGGCAGTGTAAAGAAGTAATGTTCAAAAACCCTCTTTGCGCATGCGCAGCAGAAAAAGTCCGCAGGAGGATTTTTAAAAATCGCCCGAGAGGCGATTCCAAAAAGTCTGTCCGCGAACTCAAGCAGATTTTGGCAATAGGACGTATTCCTGTATGCGTTGCCATTTGATAACAAGGGGAGAAAATTTTAGTCCATCTGTCTCTGTGTACGCCGGCGTTTACTCTAAAGGTGCCCTCCTCCTGAAACCAAGCAAATTTTTAGTAATTTTTTCATGAATTTAATGTTTTTAGATGGCAAATAATTTATACAAAATAGCTCAAATTGGTTAAAAAATCTTGTTACTTCCAGTTTGTGTTAATTTAGGTTAAGTGATGCGCGAGTAACATCACAAAATCAGTTTGCAAATTAAATGTCATAGGCCCTACTTCATGTTAAATTAAATCTAACTATTACCACAACATACGAGGCATGTTTTTTAAGTAAGTACCGTTTTTTAATTTCTCCGTTCCAGTGCTGCGATTGGCATTTTGTACATTTGTGCTGTGTATGTGCATCTATTGGCAAGCCTGTGCCAGAAATTCGGCAATTTTTACATCCGTTTCGAGCATTCAAAATGGTGCCGCCAATTAAGACTTCTGCCGACTGCAAAGTGCGCCCTGTAATTATATTTTTAAGTGCTAAAGGTGTAAAAGCCATTGAAATTCATCGACAGATTAGTGAAGTGTATGGCGGGAACATTATGAGTGACGGAATGGTACGCAAGTGGGTAAGGGCATTTAAAGACGGCCACACCAACATTCATGATGAGCAACGCACTGGGCGGCCATCTGTCTTTACTGATGAATTGGTCCGTAAAGTTGATGAAAAAGTGGGAGAGAACAGTGGGTTTACGATCTCATCATTATCTGAGAAGTTTCATTTACTCATAATGTTCTCGCCATACACTTCACTAATCTGTCGATGAATTTCAATGGCTTTCACACCATTAGCACCTAAAAATCTAATTACAGCATGCACTTCACAGTCGGGGGCAGTCTCAATTGGTAGCACCATATTGAATGCTCGAAAAGGGATGTAAACACGGCCGATTGTTGCCAAATTTCTGGCGCATGCTTGACAATAGATGCACATACAGTACAAATGTCCAAAATGCCAATCGCAGCGCTGGAATGGAGAAATTTAAAAATGGTACTTATTTAAAAAACATGTCTCGTATTAAGTGTGTTTATGGCACAAAAGTATAACAAGACCTTTAAGATTTTATAAAAATTCAAGGACTCATTGTGTCTTTTTGTTTTTTTGATAACCATTGATTCAACTATGGAATTCATAAATAATTTAAATCTGTATTTCTGATAAGTATGTTTTTAAAGTTTAATTTATTAAAAAAACCTGTGGAGATTGGTGTTAGCATCCTAAATTGTTTTCGAGAGTAATACAAGTACATTAGCAGCTATTACGTTCAAGTATGCGAGGAAATTTAAAGTAAAGATTTTTTCCCTACTACTAAATAGATTTGAACCTAAACTAAATAATGATTCTGTTCATATCTAGATTCAACAATTCCTAATTCAACAGCTCAACTAACAACCTAATTTTCATGATATATTACTTCAGGTTGACACACATATTCACGCGGCATCTTGCATGAACCAGAAGCACCTGTTGCGCTTTATCAAGAAGACGTTGAAGAATCACGCTGACGAGGTAGTGACCAACGGTAGGGACGGAGAAATGACTCTGAGACAGGTGTTTCAGTCCATGAACCTCACGTCCTACGACCTCACTGTGGACATGCTGGATGTGCATGCGGTGAGCATTAACATTTCCAACATCTCTATATTTGTTCTTCCTGTTATACAAATTTGGCTTTTTTATTGCTTTTGATTGAGTTCTTACATTCTGACAAGTTTTTTCTAAACATTATTGCACATAAAGAGCCCTAAATTTGTCTTTCCATCGAGGAACATTGTGAATTGTGGAGAATTCTGATGAGTCAACTACGTTGTGAATTATCTAAACTAATAATCTTTTTACAAAAAATATGTCAATATAACAATCAGTGATGTGTTGATTGATACCAAAATTGATACATTCTTGATACTGATATCGATACCTGAAAAATCAATTCTCTATATCAATACCATTTTTTAGCGTTTTACCAAATTGTCTTAATGGATTTGTTATATTTATTACACAAACCCCTTTCTTAATGCTCTTCCATAAAATATTTTGAGATAATGCGATGTTTTTCAAGTAAATAAATAATTATGCAGCAATCAAAAATTCTAACTAGACAATAAATTTTAGTTTAATCGCTCCTAAACACAATTTCATCATACTGCAGCAAAAACAGCCGTTTTTAATGCGTGTGTTGTGGGTTTAAAGTAGCCGCGGTCACGGCATGATCGTCAGTATGACTCGCGGTCACTGTGTGATCGTCGGTATGACTCGAGGTCATGGCATGATCGTCAGTATGACTCGCGGTGACGGTGTGATCGTCGATATGACTCTGTGGTCACGGCGCGATTGTCTGTATGACTCGTTTGTATGGTTTATTTCCCAAAATATAATGTCTGGGATACAAAAGTAGACAGTTAATATTTTAAGTTAATACTTTTAGTGATCAAAGAAGATGAAGCGTGTTTATTTACTTCACTCTCATTTATCATCATCTTATACACATACTAATAACTGTGTGCGAAGCAATTGATGAAAATGTGAGGAACTGGGAATACTTATCAACTTATCAATCTTATTCTGTACGACAGTGACGGGAATAATTACCTCAATTCCTGGGAATACTTCTATTAAATGTCTAAGCCGTTTACCTTTGGTAGGTTGTAGCTTCACAACTATTCAAATTTGTTTTCGAGGTTTATCGGAATAGTGTGAATTATATGTCAAGTTTGATGACGAACGTAATCCCATGAAAAGACTCAATTTGACACAATCCCTGTCTAGCGGGCACTACGACGTCAGAGCCACAAAAAGAGCCTGTTTCTCACAATCGTCAGCCAATTCCGGAATCTCAACAAAATACATTAAGGCGTAAACGGCGTAGCAGGTGCACAGACAAACAAAGGAAAAAGCAGGCGAAGAACGCAAGCAAAAGGTATGAACAAACTCATCCTGAAATACATTGACCAAAGATTCAATCGATGTTGAAACATCTATCAACAATGGCATATAATCCAAAAATAGACTATGAAGATTAAAACAAACGGTGAATTACCTGTATACTCCAGGGATCTCCACTACCTAAAGCACTTCGCACGGCGTAATATCACGCTAATGGCAAAATCACTAATCACTAAGTCACGTCTTAACTCTGTCAAGCGCAGGATTAGAATGTCTTTTGCATCCCTAGCCCACAAGGGATCTCCTCTCTTTCCCCTTCCCTAATCCTTTAAGGATGGGGAATCAGCTGATTCAATTCCCAGCTGATCGGTGACGTCACGAGTTCAAACTCCCTAGTACTACCGTACCGACTTTTTCAGTGCACCGCAGACCCCAAGCTTAATTACCGTCATCGGTTCGGTACAGCATTTTATACGGTACAAATTCGGTTCGGTACAGCCTATTATAATAATAAATTACTTTCAGTTTACTATCATAGTCAGGCAGTTGGTTCCGAGCACATAAAAGCCTTATCAGATGTTTGTTTACGATTTTCATAATTTATTACGAGGGTGATGATGCAATAAAAAACCCATTAGCAGTCCCAAATCAATTAACATTTTATCACGACAATAATTTGTTCTATTCAAGTACTTCCAAGAACTGTTTAATCACTGGAGTTTTTTCACTTTTATTTCTTTACGACTTTCCCAAATTCTGTTTTATCAAAAAAATAATAGTTTTGTGATGACTGTTAAATGTTATATCTAACTCGGTCAGTATTTTCGTGAATACTCAATTTGCCGCTGGCCATTGCCTGCTGCAATAAAACTGTTTATGGCTACGTATTAAACTTGTAACTAATCTTATTTTATAAGTTAAAATATTATTTGTAATAGATATTTTATCTTTCTATTGATGATAGAGATGTGCGAGTACTCGAGATTTAGAGTACGAGTTGAGTACAACTCGGCAGTTTCGAGTTGAGTTTGGTTTAAAATTGTAAAAAATCAATATTTGTTAAAATGTAACTTGTGTTTACATAAAATGCTTTATAATTTGTATTATTATAGATTCTACAGTAATACAAATATTTTTACAGTGTAGAAATGAGCAAGAGGTAGTTGTCCTAACCTATTTTTATAGCTTTCACAACAGAATAGGTCAACTCAAAGCAGTCGCCGGCGACTGGACTGACTAGCAATGGCATAATCTGGACTTGACACAGAATGACATGATCGGTAGTGGTTTTGTTTTAAAGTACTGTTTCACAATAGAAAATTCCACTACTGAACTGTTACAAGCAATAAATCTATGTTTAAAAAAAATCTGAATAGAAACACTACAAACGGCAAAACAATAGAAGGGAGGGAGGGGTTGTGCAATGACCTCGAAATGAGCCGGCAACCGGCAACAGCGAGTGGTGTAGGGGGTTGGGGGGAAGGGGAGGGTGAGACCTTGGAGCTATATTTAGACCAGACTAGACTTTCACCACTTCCGAAATGGCTGGGTAGGGGCAGGGGGATTACAATAGCAGGTTTTTTCCTTGCCTGGTTTGACTTTTGTCTTTTTGTATAGGAGATTTGAATCATCAAAAATATAATTTGAATCGACCACAATTAATTATTTAGCATTGAAAATACAATCTGCAAGGGACCAGGAGAAATATTCAAATTAGAGTTAATACCATAATTTACATTTTTATGTCAAAATACAACATTGCACAATCATGATGTTTTGTGTCATTGACCTTAATAACGCATCTGTTATAAGTTGATAATTATAAATTGATGCTACCGTGGTTGAAAATAATTATTATGTAACTTGTAAAACATAGATAACTCACAAGTAAGTATAAAATCATTCATAAAGACAATAGTAGCACTCCTAAAAAAAGCTTACAAATATCTCAAAATAATGAAGTGCTAGCACTTGGTCTTCTAGGTTACATAGTTTGTTTTCCTTTATGACAACTTGCATTAATGTGGTTAATGTGCGTGGAATACAATTGATTATAGTGAGTTAGGCCTAAGTCTAGGTTTCATTTGATTTCTATAACTACTATTGTATGAGCCTATTACATTATTCCATACAATTTCCAATCTACAATTGTTTTGTTTATCAGTAAGGTAGACTACTTGTAGGCCTATTTGCACTTTATTTTTAACATGTATTTTGAGTATTTTAACAGAATGATTGTTTACAATTAACATACAAGATTAAAAAATTTAATTTTCTTTAATTTCAAAATTTTATTTTATTTTACCCACTGTCAAACCATTGGAAATTTTGTAGGCCTACTGTTACAAAAACCACACCAACTAAAAGAAAAATGGTAATAAACTTAAAAAACTAAAGGTGAAAAGGTAGGAAATAAAATTTCAAGTTTTAGAATAAATCTCTTTATTAAACTTAATATTGTAATTGCAACCTTAATAATTAATAAATGCAAGTATTGAGTAATTTTAGCCAAGTATTATGCAATATTACTTATCAATAGGGATTAATGTATTTAATTTTTGGATAAATAAATATATGCTCACTTACCTATTTTACACAGAAGTAAAAGTTCATTTACGAGCTCTATTGTTGTTGTTTTAAATTATTTTCTATGCATTATATTGATATGTTACTGCACAAATATTAATAATAATTTATTTATAATCATACTTCAGCTTGTAACAAAGTTGTTTTACAAGTTACATGCTCTAGGCCTAAGGAGTTACTTAAACTTACACATCCTTCGATCTTTTGGGTTTAAACTCGACTTGAACTCGACTCGACCTGAAAAACCTGTGCTCGCACATCTCTAATTGATGAAACCACAAGCATAGTTGTTGTTTTTTGCATATTTTTTTTGTTATTCAATCCTACTCGGTCTCAAATTATGTCATTGCATGTTCTGTATCTTGTCTTATATTGTTAGATGTGGCTGTTTAAGGCTTAAATGTTTTTTAGTTTCCTGTATTTTTTATTGTGTTGAAGGTACTTTATGCAATCTAAATCTTATGAACTAGATAGTGATTTTACTACCCTCATTGTAACCTAATCAATTTATAAATTGGCCCTCCTAAATAATTAGGTCTAGGCCTGGGTCTTTTGATTCTTTGGAAGAGCTTTAAAATATACTAAGAAAATTTGATTGAGCCTGAGATATAAACAACTAATGATTGATATGATTGATATTGTGGATGTTAACTTTGTAAATGAAAAGACAATACTTACTTAATTCTGTCTGTTTGTTCTATATCTTACTCTGTGATAATCCAAATTTTAGTTTCATAAAAAAACTTTGCAAGAGTTGTATCCATCTTATTACCTATCTTAGTTTTGAATCTGATAAAAAAATATGCTCTTTGCCATTACTTCATCATAACCTCCAATTTTTCATTGTCGTCTGCTGTGAACAGCTGGCAAAACTACACTGTCTTCGTACTGAATGCTTTTATATGTTTTTAACAATTTAAAAAAACAACTAGACATTGTGTTGGTTGGAAATAATTTACCAGTTTTGTGAAAAAATGTTTTAAACATGTTTATTCATAAAAACTCTTATCCTATTTTTAAACCACTTTATCATGGCTATTCAAAGTATCTCAGAGTAGGTAAAGCCTTTATCTTAACTGTGATTTTTCTTGACGCAATCCTTGTAGTAGTAAAAGGTTTTGTTTTAATAATGTGTGGTACAGTAATTGTTGTTAGAAAACCATGAATGTTGGATACTATCCATTTTCATACTAATGTCAATGTATTAAAGTTAAAAATAATGATTTAAATACAGTTCTTAGAAGAAAACCGCAAAAATACGGGTACCCGCGTACCGTACCGATTTTGTACCGTACCGAACCTTACCGACCTTAAATTTTCTGTACCGCAGACCCCTAGTTCAAACTTGGCGCTGTCACAACACAACGCCAAGACAGCCGACTAGTGGTACTGGTTATGTTGCTAATGTTGTTATTCACCTGCGCCGACTGTGAAATTATACGGCGGGATCATCGCTGATTTAAACAAAGCGTATAATTTCCACCCGTGAGGTGTAACTTAGTGTCCGACAAAGTGTATGCATGTTATGTATGTGATATTGTATTTGTGATCACGGTTCACCACCCTAGCCTAAACAACAACTTTGACCGTACTTACTTCACTTATTATGAATAATCCACTATATTTACACTGTTCTGTATCTACACATCGTGTAAATACGATTTACACGATACTACTGTATCGTGTAAATACAGAACAGTGTAAATATAGTGGATTATTCATAATAAGTGAACACATTCATACATATGCAACAGTAAAAACAATTTTTAGTCTCTTCATCTGTGTTGGCAACCCTGACAAGGTGTAATAGATTCAAATTGCAACTGCCATTGCCATTTCTCCAATCTCCAGTGGTTGAAAAAGTGGTCAGTGACCACGAAAATTTCTACTTTTAATTTTGTGATGTTTTATGTGTCTCTATGGACTTATTTAAAGGTAAGCCTGCTTTCCTGTCAATTTCCTTAATAATTGATAGAAGTTATTAGTTTGTTGAAAAACTAACTGATAGAATTAGAAAATAAAGTTAGTTTTAGTAGAAATTAGCTGCTCGTTGGGCAGTTGTTTTAGAGTATTTTTTAATGTCACATCTTGGTTACTAATATATACAGTAGAACCCCTCATATCCGGCCTTGGTTTTACCGGTCCTCTGTTTATCCGGCCCCTTCCAGGAAGCCAATATCAAAATTTTTTTCTCACACCTTACAGACGTTTAGATACAAGCACTAGTCTTTGTGACTGCTCAAGTCATAAAATAAATTGTTCTCATTATTTATCTGTTTGTTTATACATTTATTTGCTGAGTCACTATACTCAGTTGAGCTAGTAGGCCTAACCTCTGATCAGTTGGCTGATTATTTCCAAAGTGGGTTTAGTACAGTACAGTACGAGTACATTAATTTTTGTATTTCACAAAATGGTTAAGAATTTTGAGTAGAAATGCAAGTACCATTTAAGTCCTCATGATCTTTAAGTGCAATTTATTGTCATTTTTACCTCCATTTAATATGTTTTGTTACCTGGAATCATAATATTTGTACATTCATTACTTACAGTACCGACTTTAACCTACAAATATTTTTTTTCCTTTTTACAGACATGTTTATCTTTCTAAAAATGATCCCAGAACAGAATTAAATGATACTTTTGATTGCATTTATTGATTACCTATTATTATTAGGTATGAATTGTCATTTTCATAGTAGGTTGGTTTATCCGGCCAAATCGTTATCCGGCCAGGGGCTTGGTCCCGTGGTGGCCGGATATGAGGGGTTCTACTGTACTATAATATGAGTAAAGATTGCGCACGATATGATTTAAAAAATGACTCCTACGATTTCCTCCAATTTCAATGCTATTGAAAATTTCTTGTATAATACATTTGCATTGTATGATGTCTTACTAACCAAAAGGATAATTACGACTGTTCAAAAACATTAAGTGTTTTACTGCAAAACAATATACACTGACATTGAACTAAAAATCTAAAGGAAAGGCCAAGGAGATTTGTATTTTTCGACGATGCACCGCACGAATTGATGCGTTATTACACCATCCCGTAATTATAGTTGCAACGTTCCACAATCCCAGTGACTTAATGCAATGGTCGTCAGATAACAGATGTTATGTATCATGAGTTTTATATTGATTGAAGCTTATTGTGGACATTTTATAGATTGATAGTCCAGATTAAAAAGTTTTGTAGACTAAATTGAGGATAAGTGGATGTCTAACAAAAACGAATTGACTTTACTACTTAATTAATCGTAGTAAGACTGAAAATATTTGTAGGCTTATAAGCTCTATTTTTTTACCTCTTGAACAAATCAAACACCTTGAGCAAGATCGGTCCCCTGGTACTTGAGTTTTAATCAAACATTGTCACATTTTACATTACTACAACATAAACAAATGACATAAAACTTGTCAGATAATGAACATCAACTAAAGACAATGTTTTGACACTTGAGATGATATAGTGATATCACTTTTGATTAGTGATATCAATCACTAAACAAACATTTCCCCTTCCCACCCATCAGTGCTTGGGGTGTTGATAATGGCCGTCACTACCCTTCCACAGGCCCACTGCATTCCAAAGCAACTGGACTTTGACTTTCTCTTTCCCCACCCCCCGCGTTGTTTGTCTACAAGGGCACTGACCTCTTACGGCCGTACGCAGCCCTCACTGATCACGTGAAATAAATAACCCGTATTTGAGATGCTTCCGCATAATTGGGAAAGTTAGTTGAAAATTCTAACCGGTTAGAAGTTATTAGTTAGTCCCGTAAAAAGTAACTGATAGAAGTTATTAGTTAGTTAATTTAAAAACAAACGAATAAAATAGAAGTTAGCCAAAAAAACTAACTAATAGTGCTATTTGATAGAATTTCTATTAGTTATTCCCAAGTATGGGTGTATATTAGGTATGGGGGTTACACGGAAACGGTTTATCACTTGTTTTGTACACAACAATGCTATACTGTGACTCGTGAATCTCAAAAATAGTGTCTTTAGTGATATTGCCAAAAGTGAGGTTATCCCTACTTCAACCCTAGGATAGGCCTAAAGCCTATTTACCTTACCATGATAGGTTTACCACTGTCACCAACCAGGTAAGGAATAGGCCTACCGATAATTAAAAAATAAATGTAAAATCTTTATCCCTCTATAATTTTGACCCATTACAGACGTTCGAATAATGTAAGTACTGCGAAGCCTTAAAGTGGAAAGAATAAACACCGGGCATGTACTGCAATGGTGGTAAAGGGCAGCTACTACCTTTGCAGCACCTACCTAAACCTTTATGCAATCTGGTCATGGGCAACCACCCTGAGCATGAGCATACACACTTTATGGACCGGGCGAGACATTATAGTAGCTGCTTTAATATGACATCGATTGGAGCAACACAGGTTGAAGCCGAATTGTTGAATGAATGCTGTTGGAACTTAAACACTAATTTATTAAAAATGTCAACCAATCTGAAAGTTTCCGTAGCGAAGCACGGGTATTCCGCTAGTATAATCTGAAAACATGAATGTACCTGGTTTCTTTCAAAATAGTGGCATCATTTAAGGATTTTACCTTAACAATAAATCTAAGAACAAAAGACTGATTGTCATGAGTAACTGACAGTTAACTAAAAGTTTTTAGAGAGCAGCCCTTACAAAAATATTTTGGTAACAATAATATCATCAATGTAGACAACATAAGTTATTTTTTAATAATTCTTTTTGTATTTTTCCTGTTAACTCTTAAATACAACAATTAAACATTGGAGATACAGGTAGTCTATGTTACTTATGACAAAACTGTGCAAAGTGAGGAATATTACAAAATGGAATTTGTTCTATAACTAATATTTTGTCCAATCATGACTATTGTCTTTGTGTAGTGAACTCTGTCCTCGAAAGGACATTTTTAATTTGTGCGCTTTTATTTAACATTTTAGGTAGGTAAAGTTCTTGTTCTTTACTACAATTTCTGTTGTGTTTTATGATTTTATTTATTAATGGTGTTGTGTTACTTTACAGGATAGAAACACATTCCATAGATTTGATAAGTTCAACGCCAAGTACAACCCGATTGGTGAGAGTAGATTGAGGGAAGTTTTCCTCAAAACAGATAACTACCTGGGTGGCAAATACTTTGCAAGGATAATCAAGGTATCTTCTTATGAAGTAAATATAAATACATGAACATTTAAAATTCATATAGTTGATATATATTTGTCAGAGAGTTATTCAGGCCAATCGCCCAACTGCACACAAAATGACTAAGTTTGCCTTGTTTTTAACATGTTTTAGAGGGCAAAAACTCAGTTGTTGGATCAAAATTGAGTTAGTAAAGTAGAAAAATAGTTAATGTTAATAGTTGTGTAAAGAATGGTTTTTTTAGAGAAATATAAATGCTAAGTGAAGTCTGTACCAAGTTAAGTTTGTATATTTAATTTTATCTCTTGAAAGTCAAAAAGGGAAAGTTAATATTATATCTTTAAATCAACACTTGCTTAATGTCAATAAAATGAGTTGTCTCAATCAATTTACCAATTTTAAAATTGCTGATTTTTGCGAGAGAGAGGATCAACTAAGAGGTAGATCTTGTATTTTTATTGAAAAAACGTAAACTTTAAAATATGGGAAGATCTAACAATTTTAAATGAGCCTTTTTGTTTTGAAGGGTCTTTTATAGAAGTTAAAGAGTGGAATTCTATATACGCCTCCATTTACACAATACCAGGGGATGACACTGAGAAATTAGCTTTACATAAATTTGAAATTTTATTAGGTAAACTATCTAAAGAAGCAAGGAAAAAAATTTATTCATTTCCAATGATACAATATAGACATTCTTAAGGAAAAATCCAATTCTCAGAATCTCTTGGAAATTAGCACTTGTTATGAGTTTACTCCTAAAGTTTGTATTCCCACTCAAGTTATCAACTTTTTTAGCACATTTATTGATAACTAGCTAGTAGCTATTGTACCCGTCCTTCGCAACGGAGAGGACACTGAAGCAAAAAATGTTATCATGAATTCCATTGTATAAAATAGTTACACATTTCCCTTTGGTTTCAGGAACATAACTCAATTGAAACTCTTAGTTTGAAAAATATCTTTCTTTGAGGCTAGGCTAACTTATAAGACTACCTAGTACGAATTATATGTGGCGCTGATGCATTTTTGTAAATAATGTACCCATAAGATTCAAATTTCAAATGATAAGCTTATTTATTTCGTAGAAAAACGTACATATAAAGTAAATAAGGAAAAAATCGCACAACATAAAGCACTGTAGTAAAGCAAAAAAAAAAAAAAAAAAAACAGTTGATATTGATTTCACATACAATTAATATGTTTTACCGTAGCTACTGTGCTTTTCTCAAAGTTCAATCTTTACCTGCAGATAAGTGTGCAATAATAATCAAAAATAAACTAATGGAAAACTTGTATTACCTTGAGTTAGAAAAGCCAACCACTACTATTGTTAATCAGGGCACAAATTTAATTAATTTAAATATAAATTAACAACATAATAATACATAACAGTTATTATTTTAAATCGTTCCATAGTTCAAAACGTGTATGTATTTGCAATAATTTACATAATTATTTAAAACATTGAGTAAGTTAATAAACATCGTTATGTTACAGATATTTAATTAATTTTATAAACAAAAGTGGATTGTGTGCATAAACTAATGGAAAACTTGTATTACCTTGAGTTAGAAAGCCAACCTTGTTGGAACTACTTGCCAACTACTATTGTTAATCAGGGCACAAATTTCATTAACTTAAATATAAATCAACAACATAATACATAACAGTTATTATTTTAAATCGTTCCATAGTTCAAAACGTGTATGTATTTGCAATAATTTACATAATTATTTAAAACATTGAGTAAGTTAATAAACATCGTTATTTTACAGATATTTAATTAATTTTATAAACAAAAGTGGATTGTGTGCAGCTTAGTATTGTGATATTTTCCATAGTCAAATTAATGCAGTGTTGTAAAAACACAAGTACTAAGGAGATTTCTGTAAATGTAAAAAAGCTAATGTGAAGTATAAGTAGTAGTTACCTCTGGACAGAATAAAAGTAGGTAGGCCTATAGTCAAAATTTTATTTTGTGTAAATTGAATTAAAACACAAATAAAAGTGTAAATATTGAGTCAGTTAAATTTTTAAAACTGTACCAGTACTGTAGATACATCTCTTAGTTTTTAAAATTATTAATCCTAATACAATCATTTGTTTATTAGTTCAAATTTTTTTAACGAAAAGCTACCATATCAAAATTGTAAAAAAAATTATACATTGTAATGATCCTTCTGATTCCATGAAAATAAGTATATTTTCATAAATATTTTAATAAAACTATTCTCATAATCATAAAACATTAGAATCTTGGGAGCAGAACCTGTACATCTTAACCTCTGCTGTTTGAACTGTCAAATTATATTATTTACAGCTGACTTAAATTAATATTTTGTACTATTTACATTCTTCCAAAATGTAAACATTGAAACTTTGGAAACCCATGGGGCGTAGCTCAAGGGAAATATAATAACAGAAATAGGTCTATATGTTAACCAGGCGGGTCGCCGGAATTTTACCCCCTGGGCAAAGCTGACGTCACTATGACGTAGGAACCTGAGTGGCCAAAAGTTTGTTCGCGGCCGGAATTTTACCCCCGCGGATTTGGAAGTCTAATGAAAATAGCCAGAGCGTGATTAATTAGATTAGCGATAAAAACCGGAATTTTACCCCCTGTCCATATAACTAGCGTTTAGACAACTAAAGATGTAGTGGCCGGATTTTTACCCCCGGATTTTTACCCCCCGGAATTTTACCCCCTGACCGATTTTAGAAATTTAATGATTAATTTTCTTATTTCTGTTTTTAATTAATTGTAAACATTTCATTATTTAGTAGCCTATCTTTATTTATTTATTTTGTAATGAAATGTTCGAAACAATTATCATTAAGTTGATTGTTTTTACGTCATATTAACCAACTGTTGGCTTCAAAAATCGAATCCTAATACTAGAATCTCAAAATTAAAATTAAAAACTTGTTCGATTAGTTAATGTTACAAATAAATTAAAATACAGTAGGCTACTTAATTATAAAATGTTTACTATAAAATTAAAACAGAATGAAGATAATTAATCATTCTCACTAATTTATATATCTGGCCAGGGGGTAAAATTCTGGGGGTAAAAATCCCGGGGGTAAAATTCCGGGGGGTAAAAATCCGGGGGTTAAATTCTGGGGGGTAAAATTCCGGGGGTAAAATTCCGGGGGTAAAAATCCGGGGGTAAAAATCCGGGTCGTACACTCTAGGTTTTTATAATTTGATGTGTTCTGATTAAATTCACAACTGTGAAAATATATGTTTAAATCAGCGTTTAATCCACCGAGCTGATGTCGCGAAACTCAATAGTTCGTGGCCGGAATTTTACCCCCTGGTTTGTGACGTCACGTTTGCCCAGGGGGTAAAATTCTAGGGGGATAAAAATCCGCTACCCCAACCAGGCATATAAGCTACCTTCTAACGAAATTTTATTTTAATTGGTTCAGTGGTTCTTACGTTATTAGGTAACAGACAGACACACACACACACACAAACACACACCATCTAATTTTTATATATTAGTATAGATAATGTTTTTGAATGTTTGAGCTAAAAATATTATTAATATAGTCTTAGACATAGGAGTTACTTACAATAGTCTCTTGCTTTTGTCTTTTGAAAAAACATGTACGTCTTCTCCAGTATGCCAGATAAAACATAAAAAGCTCACCCAAAAGTTTAGCAAGAAAAACCTTGACAAGCTTGAAACGGCACTTAAGTCTGCTAATTGGTATTTCAACTAGTGTACATGTTGCTCGAATTCGAGCAATTGCAAAGTATTACAGGAGTTATTTCAAAACGAATAACAGTCATATTTACAATGAGTTTAAAAGAGTCAACTCAAAGATTACCGGTGTGTAACTCAGACCATGATTATCTTCGTTATTGATAAACCTAAAGCACCGGCCGGTTTTCTCCTTCTCAAAATGCCTCGCTGTACAGGCCACACAGGTCATTGATAGAGGGCCAATTGAGAACGAAAAGTCGTTTTGGGGTAGTGTTAGGGCACATTTGTAACCTAATAGTTGAGATTGTCCAGGGTCAGGTGCTGACTGTGATGAGTTAAGCCTACGCGCCACTGTTCTGTAGCTGCGGTCGTTATCACGATTACGCCTCCTGTCTATGTTTCGTTGTCGTCACGTCGGAGGCTTTTAAAAGAAAAAAACAACAAATAAATAAATTATAGTTACACAAAACAACGATAAATGCACAAATTTAAGTTATAATCATGCTAACACGATCCGTCATAGCGACACAAAACAACGATAAATACACAAATTTAAGATACAACCATACTAACTCGATCCGTCTTGGGGGTTATGTTTACACAAACTCAAATAGTAAATAAATGTACTCAATGCGTTTCATTGAATTGAAAAATAAATAACAGCAATTAAATTATACAGCTGATCAAAAGCTAAACAATTGTGTTAAAAGCTAAACAATTATGTTCTTCAGTAGGATAACATGGGAACTTTCAAAGCCACTGGGGCAGAGCCCAAAGGACTTTTTTCAAAAATGTAAGGCCAGTTTGCAAATCTACGCGACACACTCTTTCCAATGAGACGTCAATGGATAAAATCGGTTAAGAAATGGTGGAGGAGTTCAACCGACAAAGTTTTGTGTAGCGTATTAATTATATAGATGAGAAAGCCAGCCCAGATATAAATTATGATGTTTTTCTCGTGACTTTCTCCACGTTATCACGCTGCTCTATAGTACGAAGCTTTTCAACTAGTGTTTTAATTGTTCTATCCTTAGATGACATAGCTTCCCATACATTTCTGAATTCACGAAAGCTTGGCCCCAAAGTAGATAAAATTCTTGCAATTAAAACTCTATCACTAAGCTTTGATTCCTTTTGTTTCTCAAGTGCATAATTTAATTCGGCAAAATGTTTTTGAAGCTTTGCAACATGGGTAGCTATGTCCTCATTAGGATCCCGATCCCACCTAAAGAACTCTTCTAGCAATCGATCTAGCCTTTGTTCACTAGACTGTTTGTACACAGATATTAAACAATC